TTACACTAACCAATTTAAGGGATTAAAATATGTTTTATAAATTAAAAAAGTTAAATTGAAAGTTAACATAAATTTTAAAAATCAAACGTATATTTAGCTCAAAAAAAAAAAAGCAATATCCACAAGCAAGTTGAAAAATATTGATGGAGTGGTCCCTTGGTCAAATGTACAGCCAATTCAGGAGAAGTCACCTTACGATGAGCAAGACCAAGCCGTCCCCCTAAACATCCAAAAGTCACTTTCTCGCATAAAGCCCGCCTTCCTTCGCTGTTATAAATACTGTGCGTGTGCGCGTGCGAGTACGTGTGCGTTAGTGCGTATTACTACACTTCCCCAAACATCCAGCACCTTCCTTTCTCATTCCTTGCGTTTTTAGACGGTGAGTTTTGCTCTCCTTTCTCTTCTCCTGTTTCCGTATCTGATCTCTTGTGTTCTTCTCTGCTCTTGATTGATTCATTCGGCGATTTTGTTTACTTTTGTAATCGAAGCTAAAATACTTGTATGTGTTTCTTGCGATGCCTGATTTTTTTTAATTACCAACGGTTTTGGCTTTTGTTATTGTGTATCGCCTGGTTCTCTGTGGATTGTTGAATATTGATGATCCTATGGACAATTTTGTTGTTGTCTTGAGCTTCTGATCGATTTCCAGTTCCTCTATTTCTACGGGGTTATTACTGCTTTTGCTAAACCAAGAGTTGCAAAAATCGTGGCATGTTTATTTGATGATCTAGATTCTTTGAAATTCATAAATTTGATTTAGTTGCAAATATTGTTGTGTTTTCACTCTTCCAAACTTCTGGAAAGCTGGCTTCTTGAACAGTGGCAAAGTCAGGATCATGATTTAGGAGTTGACTTGATGGCGATGATTGCTTAACAAATAATATATATAGGCGGGAAATGACACGATGAGAGACTAGAAGGGTCCTTTCATTGTTAAGAATCTTATTTAATACTACCTCCAGTTCTTATATAAAGCTAGTTTGACATTCAATTTGATCTTAAATATAAGACAAAATCTATTTTGACTATTATACTTATCTATTTTTTTTCAAAGTACTCTTTGTAATAATTCCTCATGTTAAAAGTTTTATTAAATGATAATTCTAACTAATATACATGATTAGTAAAGATATTTTAGGAAAAACGACACCTATGAGTAGCTCTTATTGATAAGAGCTAACTGGCTGATTTGAATAGATTAAAAAAACTAGTTAGGTTAGTTATTTGTAATACACAAGTGTTGTCTTTTCTAAAATATCCTTACTAATCAAGTATATTAATTAAAATTACCATTATTACAAGAACCATTTTGAAAAAAAAGAAGATAAATAAAAGAGACAAAGTGGATTGAAGTTTTATATTTATAATCAAAATAAAAATAAAACAATATTAAGGACAGGAAGTAGTAATTAATGCACGCTTTTCTTGTCCTGTTCTGGAAGTGACCACTCTGTGAAATATTTAGAATTCTGAGTTATTAATAAGTTTAGCTATAAATATACTGTATTACTTGCGATGGTGCGTGGACAATTAAGTTATAACAAGACATTGATAGAATAGTATAAACAAGAGTAGTTACCATTGCTTGGTTGTTGATTGATAGCGGTTGCCATTGCATTTTATGAGTCATAAACGTTAGTATGGTAGGTCCAACTTGATGATATGATTGACAAGGCCACATTTCTGAATCACGGATTAACCTTCTTGATTCTATCAACTGTAACTAAGTAATTCTCTTGTGTGTTTCTATTTGTTTTTATCCGACAAAGACAAATTGTCTAAATTGATATGGATTCAGGTGCAAGATGTCAGTAGTGAACGTGTCCAATGTGAGAGTTCCAGCAGCTTCCTTGCCCAGAACCCCACCCACAAGGAGATCTTGCGCTCTTTTTAAGAGTGGGTCATCCTTAGGCTCTGTGAAGAGTGTTTCTAAGCTTTTTGGGTTGAAATCTGAATCCTTCAGAGTTTCTGCCATGGCTGTGTACAAAGTGAAACTGATTGGACCTGATGGCAGTGAGAATGAGTTTGAAGCTCCTGATGACTCTTACATTCTGGACTCAGCTGAAAATGCAGGGGTGGAGCTGCCTTACTCATGCAGAGCCGGCGCCTGCTCTACGTGTGCAGGCCAAGTGGTTACAGGATCAGTGGACCAATCAGATCAATCCTTTTTAGATGAGAAGCAGATGGAGCAGGGATATATTCTGACCTGTGTTTCATATCCAACCTCAGATTGTGTGATTCACACCCACAAGGAGAGTGAGCTCTGCTAATCAAATTTATGGTTTTGATTGGTCTTACATGAGCTAGAATATGTGTCAGTCTAGTAAGGAATTGTGAGATTGTTCTGGTGCTTGTACTAGTTTCCCAATGATTTTATAATGATCTTGAGATTGATCCCAGAATATGTTGGGACTGCAACTTCGTCCATATTAATAAAAGTCGTGATCAATCGTAGAGTCTGCGGTATTGTTTTAGTCTTCTTGTTATGGCCTATTTATTGAATGAACGAGTAGTTCAACCATCTTATTTTAATAATTTCATATTAAGGACATTCGTAGAGCTGGACGATGTGGTTGTCATTTGAACATTCCAAGTATGATACCGTTGAAATATTATCATCGTATGCTATGTTTCATTGTTTTGTAACATGCTTGAGTAATTAAATACTTGACCGTTGCTTTATTAACATAAATTTTATAATAACGATCATTTAGTTGACATGCCTCATTCTTTTTTTTTTTTTTTGGCCCACACATACTTCATTCCTACCAAATTTGTTATAATAATTTTGTAATAAAAGAACTTCGATTACATAGAGGGGTCCGTTTATTGCCAAGTTTTCAACAAAAAACGTAACATGTGAATTTTTTCAAATTTTTGTGGGCAATTTTTTGTTTAAAAATATTTAACGATTTGTCATTGAGCTGTAAGGATTAAAAATAAGCATATTTTTACATGTTATTTTGTATTTAATTATTTTTTAGGGTATCACAATCTCTATTTTGAGAATTATAATTAATGGGTTATTCTAACTCTTCAGTAATAACATATGATTAAATATATAATCAATCGATGTAAAATTTAATAATTCCAAGAAATATATATTGTATGCTGTTATATTTATGAACTTTTGATTTTATATTAATTTTCTAAAAAAAAATACATAAACAATTCTCAAAATTATGTCCCGCCAGAAAAGAGAACCCCATTAAGTACGTTCCCGCCCTTTCTTTCTCCATTCCTCACTGAACACCGTCGAGGCGGCCACGGGAAAGAACGCGATCGAGTTCCCGGTTTTTGCATCGGTCACAGGTAAGAGAGTCTGTGTTCCCTTCTGCTTCGAAAATGTCTTCTCTTTCTCTGAATATTTTTGCATTGCGATCTTCTTGCTAACGTTTCTTTCGGGTTGATTTTATTTAAATTCATAAAGTTAATCTTCTCAGAAGTTCCTCTTCCCATCATTTTCTTCCTTTTGAAAGTTGTTTGGTTTTGAATGTTTGAATTGTTGATTGTTTGTGAAGTCCTGATTTGATTCGTTCACCGGAAAAAGGGGGAAAAACAAGGGTTCTGTTTTGGCTTTTGATTCAGATCCTTTGAAAGGAGACTGGCTCTGACATCGAATTATGGGTTCGGTTTTACATCATCCTTTTGATTTCAAGACGCTGCCTTTGTGCTGTGTTTTGGTTTTTTCCCCTATTTTCATGTGAGGTGTGTCTGATGAATTGTGGATTCTGGCTTTTCTTCTTTGCACTTGTTCTATTTGTGGAAATTCCTGTATGACTGTACGACTCGCGATTCTTCTTTCTAGATTTTTTCATCCTTTTTTTTTTTAATTATTATTTTTTAAGGTTCAACGTAATCTGATATGGTTTGGAGCAGATTTTTGAATCATATCAACAAATTGCTCAATATTTTCTTACCAACACAAGGAAAATCAGCATAACAACGTCAAAGCAATCATGTCACTGAAAAAAAAAAAAAAAGAAACAGAGAGAGAGAGAGAGAACAACAACAACAAAATCATTTACCCTTACTTCTATTTGGGCATGTTTTCATGATATATTCAACATGTCATTTGACAACTTGCGTAGAGCTCCATCTCAAGCCGTTATTGTTTAACTAGTAGACGTGTTTCGGGATTTTCATCATCATAATTAAAGCATTAGAGTAAGAATCACGAGATGCATTTCATGGTGAAAAAGATTGCCCTGTCTCCGTGGAACAACGAAATGCATCAAGGACATTAGACCTTACCTACTTCTTTTCACTTGGATTGCTTCCTGATTTCAGGCCATGGACACGTCAAATCCTGCAGCATTTGTAAATGCGGAGTTGCTTCCCAATTTCATAGGGAAGAAAGTTCGGACCGTGGTTCAAGTTCATCAATCTGATGGTGGTGTTGCCGTTGGAAAATCCACAGATGACCGTCAGCTAACTGTGAAAGGATTGCCACAGGTTCCTGCTATGAATTATGTTGAGGTGATTGGTATTGCAGAGAGCGGCCAATTGATTAATGCTGAGATATGGACTGACTTTGGCAACACATTCGGTATGAAGCCCTATTAAACGTTTTTGACTTTTCATTTCCTTCGCTATAAACTTTTATTTTTCATGATGAGTTTTAAATTGTTAATTACTGCAGAAATCTTAAGAACTAAGTTTGATTGTATTGTACTCATCTAAGCGCGTAAAGTCATTGATAATATAGAAGCAAGTCAGTCCAGTGTTCTTTTTTCTTTATACCTAGTTCTATCATCGGTACTAACAGTGCCATTATGCTAATACTGATGATCGAAAGAGGAGAAATCTCTTAATAATATTCAAGCAACTCTATGGAGTGGGTTTTTTTTCACTAAATGCATTTTGAGATTATAGTGTGATTGAAAAAACTAGAGCGACAATCTCAATATGCATGTATTGGTGCAAAGGCTCAATCTTTCAAGGCAAAACGAGAAATTCTTAAATAAATTCGGACTTCAAAGTATATAGGTCAGATCTTATCATCAGTATATATATAGATCAGATCATCTATAAATAGACATGCAAACACAGTATTTACTTTTGGCATAGTTTTTTTGGTCATTCGCTTGTCTTGATTATTTTTGGGGGATCAGATCAATTTAAGGATTTCTTGAGGAGAACATTTTGTGACTCCAGGAAATTACCCGATATTTTTGTTATCAATATTCATAGTATTTGAAAATGATTACTCATGCATCATGATGCTTGATACATCCAACTCATGTCATTGCCTATGTATATTGATTTTGATGTTCCCTTCTTTGCAGACACTGGCTCGTATAATAAATTATGCCAACTCGCAAATGGGGAATTCAGAAGTCTGTTTCTGTAGAGACATTGACAGATGCTGAAGAGCCTATGATGGTAAGGAGTTGCAGCTTTCAAGCTAAAGCGCACCTTCTATCATCTAAGTGGCATATGTTTGAAGTATTTATGAGGACTGAGGAATGTTTTTGTTCCCAGAAAAGTAATAGATCAATGCATAGTAGGAAGTCTGTCCCATATTTGGAGTTCTATTAACTTATCACTTTGCTATATATAACGTTTAGTTTTTATTTGATTGTGGTTGCCCTCTTTTTTAAATGTGAAATCAGTTTACTGTCGCACGAAACACAATGTTCAAGATTAGGGGAAAAACTGCCGAGTGTGTGTAATTTTGGTACTGACATACACATCAAAATCGATAATTGGCAACAATGCTCAATTTGTTTGGAAAACTTTAGAATAAACTGAAATAAGCTTTCTCACATTTTACAAGGCAAAATCAAAATAAGTTAATCCAGATACATACTTAGCATCATATCATATAATTTTAATGTTTGTTTTCAATTGTCTTTTTCAGTACAATTACTGATACAAACTGATTTAGCTGTGATGTAGTTTCTATGATGGTAGTGGTGAGTTAAGAAAGCGGTAAATCTTGGCAGGACTAGTGGATACTCGGATCTATTAATTATGAAAAAGTTCGTCTTTTTTATAATCAGAAATTAATAGTGGAGAACAGATAGAGTAATGGTGAGTGGTTGTGTGAATATTTAATGTTTTATGATTTTGTATTTTACAAAGCTTGTGTTGATTATATTTTATTTTATTTTATTGTTTTTTTTGTTTCTTCTTTACAACCTCCACGAAGAAAGGGACTGGCTGTCGCATTCTTCCCCATCTACTAATCCCTTATCATGCGGGGGAAGTAGTCCACTTTGTGAAAGAAACATGCCAATTTTCCACAATAGTGATGTTTGTTGCAATGCCTTTTCCAATAGCAAATGGCATTCCCAGGTTAATGAAACGACAAATGGAAGAAACATGATACAGCTAACCTGACATTTTAATTTTGAGTTTTCATGAGGCAATATTTAATAAGTGAACTATAATTTATGGAAATTAGGTTCCACTAATAAAGTATAGAATTGGAGAAAATCTACTTTAAAATGCAAGCCCACCAATATACAATAGCTTTTCCTTCTTCCAAGATATACCTTCAATTTTTTTGACCGAAAGAAAGATGCATCTCAAACTTCAGAAATTAGAAGTTTCCCATCGTCATTTTTTCACAAAAATATAAAAAGTAGAGCTCTTTATTTTCAAGGGAAAATTTCAGTTAGTTCCCTCCAAAGTGATTTAATTTGCAACCATCCTTATAAGATTCCGAAACTTCATTTTATCCCCTACGGCCAAAATAAAATTAAATTTTATAGATGAAACTACGCCCTTGCATTACTTTTTTAAAAAAAAAAAAATCAACCTTGCTTGAGTTTCTCAAGCCAAAGAAGTTTTTTTTTTTAAAAAAAAAAAAGTGGCTGGAGGATTTGAACCCATAACCTCTTGGCATAACAAAAACATTATAACCACCAAATCATCCAATCTATTTAATAAAGCAATGAAAATATATATCACAAAATAAAGGTAATTATCCATATGTAATTGAACAACTGAAATAAGACAATTCACAGCTTATATTGGACAATTTGCAAGTAGTATATAAGAATTCACAACTCTATTTGAGATCATGTGGAGTAAGAAATTAAATGTTAAGGTTTGTATGAATAACTGAAATTAAACTACTTACAACACAAATAAAGCAATTTGCAAAAGATTTATTAGGGAATATTGACAATAAATGGCATTTCAAGGTTAATGAAACGATAAATGAAAGAAACATGATACTGCTAACTGGACATTCTAATTTTGAGTTTTCATGAGGCAAAATTTAATAAATGAACTATAATTTATGGAAATTAGGTTCCACTGTAATTTGAGAAAAATCTACTTTAAAATTCAAGCCCAGCAATATCGAACAGCTTTTCCTTCTTCCAAGATATGCCTTCAAATTTTTTTGACCGAAAGAAAGATGGACCTCTAACTTCAGAAATTAAAAGTGTCCCATCTTCATTTTTTCAGAAAAATATAAAAAGTAAAGGAAAAAATCACAATTAAAGACTCTAAAATTTGAAAAACACAGATAGGGACCATTGACAACTTCACTATGACTTTTGATAATAATAATATGTCATGAAGTTGTCAAAACCCATAGTGAAATTGTCACGGGTCCTTATCTGCATTTTTTAAATTTTAGAGTCTTTTTTTTTTTGTGATTTTCCTAAAATAAAGCTCCTTACTTTCACTTGATATTGATTTAGCAGGTTCTATATTTCCCTCCTCTAATTTTCTCTCTCTACTGAACTTTTAATTGTTTTAAGGATCCAAAGTTTCCCTTTCCCATCGAAATTTTTATTCTTATATCCTCAAAAGATTGCTGTTAAGAAGGAACAATTTCTAATTCAATCCCTCTCTTTGTCATGTTTGATTATGATGGGAAGAGGTTTAAAAAAGAGAGAGTAAAGGGAGAAAATAACTCAGAGCTTGCTTGATTATGTTTTGTTAGTGGGTGATTTATTATAAGCGGGGAATGAACTGGAACATAATGGAATGAAAATAATGTTAGTGGACATGAGGGGGAGTGGCAACCAAAGAACAAGAGGATTGGGGGAAGGAACAAAGGGCATTTTTGAATTGAGACTTATTTCCTTCCATTTTTGGAAACGCCATTTCCATGTTTATGGGAATGGTGCTTCCATAGGAAATGGCAATATTGTGTTTCCATAGAAAGCTCATTTTCATGTGAAATAACTAATTATTTAGTTCATGTAGTTTTAATTCAATTACATGCAACTCAATGCTTAAAGTTTAATTTGATGCAGTTAATTTCTGAAAAAAAATTTTGGGTCGTAATTCATATACACATAACTCTTATAAAGAATCTGAACTCACAATCCCATGTTTAAGTTAATCATTTAATTTTTGGTTTCTAAACCAAAAAAAAGTTAAGGGAAACCAGTCAAATTTTAGAGATTGGATTATAAACTAAAAAAAAAAAGTCATCTTCTTTGATTCTATATAGCTTTTGACGAAAATGTCCCTCACCTATTTCTCTTCTACACAAAATCACAAATCAGTCATCAACTCATCATTATTCTCCGTCACCATCCTCTCACCACAGTCCGCATATGTCATCACGAAATATGGATGGATGTGGAAAAGTCTTCCTAATTCTCCTGAACCATCATCATCTTTCAGATGCATTTTCCATTTAAGTAATTATATCATTTTTTTTGGGGGGGGGATTCATTATAACTCTAACTTTAACTTGTCCCCCCTCGTGATTCCTCCTTATACATAAATAATTTCTATAATAATATTTTCATTCACTACAGTTGTTAATTTTACAAAAACTAGCTAAACCAACTGAAATTAGATGCTGGACTCCTTTTAATAAAATTGAAGATATTAAAAGAAAGAATGAATTGATTTTCTATCTTTAATTTTAAAGCAGTTTTCCATCAGAAGCACTGATATTAATACCCACACTTATTGTAGCAGTGATAAACCAAATCATATAAACTAGTTTATGCATCCTATATGTATAGTCACACAAATATATACACTACGATTTGATTAAATTATAATATTATGATGAATTCTTGTGGCCCAGAAATAGTGGCTTCAGCTTCCAACTGCTGGCCGTCAGACAAACCCATTTCCAAAAGATTCCACAATCTTCATTATTTAACACACGGACCACTACCTTACCAGTAATCACAATGCTCTCGTTTTATAAAGCTACTTTTTTCACTCAAGATAAGGATCAAACAATTACAAACTGTGGATTTTTTGTCTCATATATCAATACTTTTTATTTGTAATTGATGTAATCTGTTGATTAAATTAATACTAGGCTCTGCTTTTGCAAAGATTCTACACCAAAAAATCATATTTAAACAGCAGTTTTGCCTACCATTATCTATCTCTCAGTGCTGCAAGACCTTCAAGACTCAACCTTTCAAGTAAACGAAAGATCATTGAGGAGGTGACGCAGATCATCTGTATCTGTATGAATCTCTGAAAAAAAAATAATCAAAAAACAGGCAAATGGGTGTCAGAGAATTGGGATTTTTTATTATCTTATTCATGCTTCTTCATTCTGTGTGTCCTTCTCGAGTTCAGAAGAGCTTGCCTTCAGGTACTGTTCTTATCAAGCATATACATATCTTACCCTTTTCTCTTCACTACAGATCCAGTCTTGCAAAACTTGCGAGTTATCTGCTAGTGACCATCTCATAGTGAATGTTAAAATAGAGATTTGAGACAAACATCATATCTGCAGAAAGTGATTTCTTACTAAGAGATCCTTCGGAAAGTAAATCAGTCGTTGAAGGAAAGATGACTGGGAATTCTGTTATTAGTTCACGCTATCACATCATGTTATTGTGTGTTTCACCTGCATATAGACCATCTGGAATTATAGCAAGAAGACGGGTAAGCAGTTGCAGATTCCTTAGACTTGATCGTTGTTAGAAGAAATCCTGTTTTAAGGTATTAGGGAGGAATCTTTTTGAGTGACTTTGAATTTGTGCGGTAGATCATTGTGCTTTCTTGTCGCCCATTAATCAAGGTATCATACACTAGCTCTTGCTGAAATTGACAAGGCATCAGAACTATAGATTCTGAACAGTCAAAGTAAAAGTTTCTGCAGTTAATGTTCATATGCCTTGCTTTTCCCGAGAAAGCTGTTCTTTTGAGAGAACCCAATACCCCAGTATGTATCCCTACCTTCAGTATTGCCTTTTCTGCATCCTACTACAGCACGTCCACATTTCAATCAATGAATTATATCAAACTGCAAGTTTTTTGTCTTCTTTTTCAAAATACAGGTAGACCCAGTCTTTTTCTTGTTATTATGCCAGTTTCCTTCTGAAGCACATGAAGCAAACAAAAAAGAGTGCGTCTAAATTGTGATGCTTACCTTGTCTGCAGAATTGATGCAGAAAAGCAAGGTAGAAGAAGACAGACATGTTTATGGAGGAAGTAAGATAGAAGGAGGAGGCATTGGTCATGGGGGTACAAGTGGTGGCAGGGTACCCAGCAATGGTGAAAATGGTAATACACACGGAGGTGGTGCAGCAGTCATCCCTGTTTATGCAGCCGGTGCCGCCAACCATCATCACAACCACCGTGGAGCTGCCACCGGCAACCTTAAAAGCATCGGGTTTCCTACTTTGATT